GTCACCTTGGTGCTGCAGCACCCACCAGCTGCCCGTGTCTCGGCTTTCAAAACCTTTGGGGCATCCAGAGGACCAGCTGGTGTCCTGTCCTCTGCCAAAGGGTAGGGGTAGTCCTTTGGATGTGCAGTGTTGGGGGGCCCCTCAGGTGACCTGAGGGCAGAGGGGCTCAGCTTCTGCTCCTTTACGTGCTCGGGTGCGTCATGGGGTTGGAATGGCCCAGCTGGGAGGCTGGAAACAGCCCAGACAAGCACCTCATCTCCCTCCTCAGGCGTGGACCAGCAGTATCAACGAGGCCAGTAAGGTGGCCCTGCTTGCTTGGGTGAAGGAAACCGGCACCAGCCTGGTGCAGGTCAACGGGCAGAGGCGATACGGCGGTCCCCCGCCAGGTACGTGTGGAGTGCGTCTCAGCTCTCTGGTGCCCTGGCAGCCTGGCACATCGGGTGCCCGGCGGGCAGGGGGGTCTCGTTCACGCGCACCGTGTCGCTGTGTGCCTGCAGGCTGGGTGGGCGGACCCCCACCATCCGGAAAAAACCGAGAAGCTGCCACATGACATGGACGAGGACGCGCTGATCCCTCTCTTCCAGAGCGTGGGCAAGCTCTATGAGTTCCGCCTCATGATGACCTTCAGTGGGCTCAACCGGGGCTTTGCCTACGCCAGGTACTGCAGCTGGCGTGGTGCCAAGGAGGCCATCGCTGCCTTCAACAACTTCGAGGTGCGGGAGGGCTGCGCCATCGTGGTCTGCAAGAGCACGGAGAAGCGCGAGCTGAGCGTGGACGGACTGCCCGCCTCCATGGGCCAGCGAGAGCTGGAGGCCAGGCTGCGGTGGGTCACAGAGGGGGTCCTCAGCATCACCCTGTATGCCAGCCCCTGCCAGAAGCAGGCCCAGCTCGCTGTGCTGAAATACAGCTCGCACGGGGCTGCTGCCATGGCCAAGAAGATCCTGATGGAAGGTAAGCGGGAAGCCTGGGTGCTGTGGGATGCTGCTTGGGCTGCTCTTCCTGTTCTCTCTAAGCAAGGCCCTGATCCCATCTCCACGCTCAGCTCTGGCGTGACTTCAGCCTTGAGACTCTCCCTGCACCCCCTGGGAGGCCAGCTGTCCTCAGTGGGGGTTTGCTTATACAGAACTAATGCTGGTGGGGTGAAGGGACTGCTGGAGGCTCTCAGGCATCTGCCTGCTCAGGGCAGGAGCATCACCAGTGCCAGTCCAGGGCATCCAGAGCTTTGGCTGAGTTAATTAAACCCTGCCAGTGGAGATGCCCAGCCCCTCAGTGTCCTGTCCCATGGTTGCACTGCCCTCAGGTGGCACGTTTCCCAGACTGGAACCTCCAAAGTGCTGATTTGGCCCCATTTCTGCCCCAGCTGAGAGGCGCTTGGCTTTGATGTCTTTGCATCTGTCCCTAAAGACAGGCTGTCCCTAAAATCCCCTGAGCTTTGCAGCCCCGAGCCCGCCTTGGTAGTAAAAGGAGATGGAGAAGCAACTGCTCTGTGGCCGCGTGAGGATGTGGAGGCAGGGGAAAGGATCCTGTGCAGTTTGTACACTGTGGGTCAGCGGCAGATCACCCATGGGGGTCACTGCACCAGATGCTGTGGGGTGGGACGGGGTGATAGTGGGGGGCTGGTGCATGAGCATCTCCTGCCAGCTGCTGCCGATCTCTCCTAGGGAACTCGAGGCTCATTGGGCTGCACGTGAGGGTGGACTGGCTGGACACCGACCTGAAGCAGAAACTGCAGCTGTGCAAGGAGAAGCCATTGTCCAGACAGCTGCAAGGGCACAAGTGCCTGGAGGTCCCCAAGCAGACACCCCAGTCTCCAGTGCTGCACAACGCACTGGACCTCCTGAACACTCTGTGCCAGAGACACTGCCTGGGGTCCCCCGTGTTCCTCACCAAGTGTGTCCAGGCAAACCCCAATGGGTGGCTGCGGTTCTGGTGCCGGTTGGTGATCCCAGGCTGCCCTGTGCCCTTCAGTGGGTTCACGTGGGTCTGGCAGGATGGGCCAGGCAGGAATGGGCATGAGGAGGCGAAGGTCACAGTGGCACTGCACGTTCTTAGGATGCTGGGTGAGTCCTTGCATGTTGTGGGTACCAACCTGCTGCCTTTTCCAGTCTTGGAGCATCTCTTGGGAGTGAGGAGCTGAGGATCTTCTCGTGTGTGTGTGTCCCAGCCAGGCAGGCAGGGCAAAAACACTGTCACCCCCAGCCAGGTGTGACCCTGGCGTCTCTGAACTCTGCGTGTAATGCCTGGTTGGATGCAAGGGGAGGGGCTTTTGGGGTGCTGCTCCCCACAGGACTGCACAGAGCCTCATGCTTTCCTCTCCACTGCAGGTTGCCAGCTGACATAGGCAGCCGTTGTGCCCGAAACACGAGTTGAACCCGAGCCACCAGCCTACTGAGCCGCCGACCACAGGAGTGGCATGCGAGTCCTGATGGGGACCTGGTCCTGTTCCAGCTTTGCTTTGAGTTTGTTTGGGTATGTCTGGTGAGATGGCTCTGGAGGATGGGGCTGTTGGCCTGGCCAGTGACAGCTGCCCTGTCCCCAGCTGGCCTTTGGGGATAGTTCTGGTTTTTGGGGATGTAAGTTTACCTGCCCAGTTGGCTTCTTTTAAGTTGGGTTTTGTTGCTTTGCTGTGGTGGAGGGGCCCAGTGCAGATCTTTGGAGAAGCAGCAGCTGCTTGGAGGGACTGCCGGTATCAGCTGGAGAGGCAGAGGGGACCTTGGGGGTTGCCTGGACTCACGTGTGGCTGCAGTTGGCATGCCAGGTTCCTGAGGAGTGGCCTGTGGTGAGGACAGGGCCATACATGGGGACTGTTCTGGTAAACGGGGCATGTCCCGTGGGCTGATGGAGCTGCTTTTTAACTAGGCGTGTGTCTGCAGGCTCTGGGAGGTGCAGGGCTGTTTGTGGGGAAGCAGCCATGGGGTTACCGGCTGCCAATGAATGATTCCTCGGAACTGGGAGGTTCAGCCACACGCTGTTCACTTAGTATTAAAGTAGCCTGGAAAGCACCGGCTGTGTCATGTTGTCTTTTGCTCCCACATCCTCAGCTCCCTGGTTGCCACCGCCAATTCATCACTCTTCCCCAACACCAGGAAGCCTGTCTTCTCCAGCGGCAGGAGAAGGGAGGGTTGGGACTTGGATCCAACCTGTAGCCTCCAGGCTCCAGAGCCTGCTGGGCGCCTAAAAGCAACATTTTCTCCTGTGGGAAGCAGCAGCCCCTGGCACCCGAAGCTCTGTGTCCCCAGGCTCTCACCGGCATCTCCCTGAGTGCCTTTCAGTCTGCCCCACGCTCCTCCGAGCACCTCTTGATCCTGGAATCACAGAGTGGTTTGGGTTGGAAGGGACCTGAAACATCACCTAGTTCCAATCCCCCTGCCATGGGCAGGGACACCTCCCACTAGGTCAGATGAGCTCCAAGAGGTCTTTGCGTGCCTTTGAATGCACTTCTGGGACATCATAGCACCTTTCCGCTGTTCTTTGGGCTCTCCAAGTACCTTTTGGCATCCCCAGTCATCTCTGAGTGGTCTCTGATGGGCACTGCGGGCCTCCAAGTGCATTTCAGGGTACACCTAGGAGCCTCCAAGTGCAGAGGACCCCAGTGCCTTGCTCTTAGGCCCTGGTGGCCTCCAAGATCCTTACAGAGCTCAGTGCATTTTGGTGACTCCGTGTGTCTTTCTGTGCTGCGCAGGTGCCTTGCAGCACACCACCAGAGGACTCTGAAGTGCCTTTACGTGTCCTCCACGGGCCATTCCGTACTTCACACCAGTCAGCCAGTGCCTTTTGAAGGACCCCAAAGGCCTCTGGAGCATTGGGATGTGGCCTGTGGGGCTATGAGTCCATTTGGTGCACCTGAAACGGCCCCACGTGCGTATCTCTGCTTCCCAGAGCTCTATCACTACCTTGTGATACATATATGGACCCTCCAACTCCCTTTGGCAGCACCCAAGCGACATCCATGATCCTTCTGGACATGCCCAGGGAGAATCCTCCTCCCTCAGATGTCTCCAAGTGCTGTTTGGTATCCCCCTGGGTCTGCACATCCCTCCTGACACGCACTGGAGCTCCCAACGTCTCTCACAAGAGTCTCCGAGCAAATTTTAGTGTCTTCAAAGTGCCTCCCGTTGCACTTCAGGAGCTCCAACATGGCTTTTCTTGCAACAGAGCCTTCAGGGGACTAACAGTGCTTTTCGAGGTACCCCAAAGGCTGCGAGGGCTGTACTGGCCCTGGGAATCTGTCCCAGTCTTGGTGTGGCACAGGACCGTGTGGAAGACTAATCGCCCAGGAGCAGGGCTGGGAGAAGGGTCACCCCAGCTCCCAAAGCAGCCAAGAATTTTTATTAGGACAGTCTGGAATGAGAGAGACAAGCCCGGCCTCAGTGATCACCCTGGAGAGAAGGACACCCGCTCCATGGGAAGCCCCCCCTGTCTGCATCTGTGGTCAGCAGCACCCACATGGTCCCGCAGGTTCACTCAGTCCAGCTCCTGGAAGAACAGCCGAGGGGAGCTGCTGAGGGTGGTGACAGGGGCCGAGAGCAGCCCTGGACCACAGGTGCAGAAATCCCAGTAGCACCCAGGATGGAGGTAGCTGTGGGGTAGAGACTCCATGGGGCAGGTCAGAATGGAAAGGGGAGGAACAAGCAGCCCCACAGGTCAGGGGAATGGGCAGAGCTGATGTCCAAGAGGAATAGCCCCAAGGGTGCTGAGTCCTTCCTGCTACCATGGCCAAGGCTGGAGCACCTCACCTTGAAGATGCCGACGGTGTGGGTCTTGGCACAGGTCTTGTAGGGGTCTGAGGCAGTGGAGACCGGGCTGAGCAAGGTCTCGGGATGACGGCATCCAGCAGAGCTTGAGTGCCAACACCAAGTTCCACCTGTCCTTCCAGGTGGGGCACGGGTGGACCATGGAGAACAGGCAAGATGGAAAGCGGCACAGTCACAGCAGGGTGACGCTCCAAGGGACACAACTGCCAGGCCTGGGGTGGCACTGGGGACCTGCTCCGAGCCTTGAGGCTGGGGAGCACCAGTGACTTGGGGTCCCAGCCACCACAGGCATGCATTGGCGCTGCCCCTCCACTGAGTTCATGGAGTGGGACAGGTCCTGTGTGTTCTGTTCGTTCTTCACCCTGAGGCTATAGACGTGCAGGTGGGCACCCTTGTCCGTCTAGTGCTTGCTGATGGATTTGCTGGGTGACTCCCTGGGCCAAAAGGGAAAGCTGAGCTCTGCTGGGTCCCAGTGTGTAAATCCTCCTCCTGCTGCTGTTGCTCTGAGTTGGAGCTGCAGAGACCAAGGCTGCTCATCACATATGTGACTGTTGGATGACTGCAGGCAGGGGAATGGCCCAGCTCGACTTCCTCCCCACCCCTGCCCAACCAGTACCTTACATTTGGAAGGTGAACCCCAACAGTGTGATTTGGCCATGATGGGGATGAAGAGGCAGGCAGCGCTGTGGGCAGCGAAGCACCAGCACTCATTGAGCAGGGGGACCTGACAGGACATGCGGCAGCAGATCAGGACAGGAGCTGAGGTGCCAGTACTGAGCCACCTCCAGCGGGTTCAGAGCCTTGGAGATAGACCAGGTTGCAAACAGCTTTCTGGAGGCAGCTGCCCTCCAGACCTGCTCTGGCAGAGCACTGTGGCCTGGCAGTGCCAGCTGGGGTCACCACAAGTTCCCTTAGGGAACAAGTTCCCAAAGGACGGTGACACTGCCAAGCCTCCCCCTCGACCCCCAGCATCCAGAGACAGGTGACAAGCTGCTGGGAACAGAACAAGCACAATGGCCACTGGGGATGATGGGGGAGAAACCAGTTGCCAGGTAGATTAGTCACAGAATCACAGAAAGGTTTGAGTGGGAAGGGGCTTTTAAAGGCCATCTAGTCCACCCCCCTGCCATGGGCAGGGACATCAACTAGTTCAGGTTGCTCCCTGTCCAGCCTCACCTTAAATGTTTCCAGGGATGGGGCCTCTACCACCTCTCTGGGCAACTTCATCCAGTGTTTCACTACCCTCAGCGTAAAAAATTTCTTCCTTGTATCTGGTCTGAACCCACTCTCTTGTAGTTTAAAACCATTACCCCTGTCCTATCACTACAAGCCCTGCTAGAATGTCTGCCCCCATCTTTCTTATAAGCCCCCTTCAAGTACTGGAAGGTGCTATGAGGTCTCCCTGGAGCCTCCTCCCAGCTGAACAACCCCACTCTCTCAGCTTGTCCTTATGGCAGAGGTGCTCCAGCCCTCTGATCGTTTTTGTGGCCTCCTCTGGACTCGCTCCAACAGGTCCATGTCCTGGCTGTGCTGAGGACAGAGCTGGACACAATACTACAGGTGCAGAATCCCCTCCCTCGACCTGCTGGCCACACTTCTTGGGATACAGCCCAGGATACGGTTGGCTTTCTGGGCTGCCACCGCACACGTTCATCCCCCAGCACCCCCAAGCGCTTCTCCTCAGGGCTGCTCTCGATCCATTCCTCCCCCTGTCTGTATTGATACTGAGGGTTGCCCTGACCCAGGTGCAGGCCTTCCACTTGGCCTTGTTGAACCTCATGAGCTTCACATGGGCCCACTTCTGGAGCTTGTCCAGGTCCCTCTGGATGGCAGCCCATCCCTCGGGCATGTCAACCACATCACTCAGCTTGGTGTCATCTGCAAATGTGCTGAGGGTGTCCCCAATCCCACTGTGTTGTCGATGAAGTAGTTAAACAGTACTGGTCCCCGTATGGACCACTGAGGGACACCACTCGTTGCGATCACCATCCAGACATCGAGCCATTGACCACCACTCCCTGGCTGTGCCCATCCAGCCAGTTCCTTTCCTACAAACAGTCCATCCATCAGATAACGTATCTCCCATTTAGAGGATGTGGTGGGGGACCATGTCAAAGGCCTTACGGAAGTCCAGGTAGATGACATCCGCAGGTCTTCCCTTGTCCACTGATGTAGTGGCTCCATCGTAGAAGGCCATGAGGTTGGTCAGGCATATGGTCCCACTAGGCTAAATGATGTCCCAGCCTGGATGGCCCTGTGGACCTTCCTTGTGCTTCCCAGGACAGAGCTGCAGGGACAGCCGGAGGGCAGCACCACAGGCCCTGCAGAGGACACCGATGGGGACAGAGGGTGCAGGACCCACCCATGCTGCTCATGAGGAAGT